CTTGGTCTCTAACAATTCCTCAACGATCATAATGAAGATGTTTTAAAAGTAGTGATGCGAAATGCACCCGGAAGTCACCAGTTGACTTCTCCACCTATCCAAAAGGATATTCTCAATGCAATTTCAAAGGAGACAACCAATCTTATCCTTAAGGAAGTTGGAGATGATTTTTTTGGAATATTAATTCACGAGTCTAGAGAATTGTTCTCATTCGATATGTGAATGCAAATGGGTGTATTATTGAGCGTATTCTTGGAGTTACTCATGTAAAAGATACTACTTCTTTATCACTTAAGACGACCATAGTAGATCTCTTAACACGACACGGATTAAGTGTTTCAAGAATATGAGGCCAAGGTTACGACGGAACAAGCAATATGCGAGGTCAGTTCAATGGCCTAAGAACTCTATTTATGAATGAGAACCCAAGTGCTAACTATGTTCACTGTTTCGCTCATCAATTATAATTAACACTTGTGGGTGTTGCAAAAGAAAATGAAGATGTATCGATGTTTTTCTTATTTGTCTCACAACTATGCAATGTTGTGTGTGCTTCGTGCAAACGTAGAGACAAATTGCAAGATAAACAAACAGAGCGATTGGTGGAATAATCCACATCTATGTAAATAATTGAAACATGCTCTGGTTTGAATCAAGAAGTAACCTTGAAATTCCCTAGAGATACACGTTGGGGTTCTCATTATGGTGCACTTGTTAGCATTATCAAGTTGGTCTCTATTGTTGTTGAAGTTCTTGAAGAGGTAATGCAAAATGATAGTGATGCAAGACAAAAAAAACAGAAGCATTGGTAACTCGTAACCATATTGAGTGCTTTGAATTTATCTATTTGTTGCACTTAATGAAGAATATTTTGGGCATTACCAACGAATTGTCACAAGCACTGCAAAAAAAAAGATCAAAACATTGTGAATGCAATGAGGCTTGTTGACATCTCAAAACAACGATTACAAGAGATGTGAAGCTGTGGTTGGGAGGCTTTGTTAGACGGAGTATCAATGTTTTGTAACCAACATGAGATTGATATCCCTAACATGGATGATGTTTTTGTAGCTCTAGAAAGGTCACGCTGTAACATTCAAGAAAAGAAAAATCTTCATAGATATCGTTTTGAGAGATTTTATATGGTCTTGGATCGTCAGTATGAGGAGTTGAATGATCGTTTCAATGAGAAAAACATAGAGTTACTTCTTTGTGTAACATGTTTTGATCCGAGGAACTCATTTGCTAGATTCAATAAAGAAAATTTAACTCGATTTGCAGATTTTTATCCGAATAATTTTTCTGAAATTGAGTTGGAAATGATGGATAATCAACTTTAGACTTATATTATTGATGTGAGATCCGATGCCTACTTCTCTAATTTGGTTGGTATTGATGAGGTAGCTAAAAATGGTGGAGACTGGGAGACATTTGGACTACACTTTGGTGTTTTTGCTTCTAAAGTCGGTTTTGATTTTACCGGTTGCGACAACCAGTGTAGAAAGAGCGTTTTCTGCAATGAAGGTAATTAAAACTTCACTGCGAAAATGTATGAGCAATGATATGCTAAGTGATTGCCAGGTGCCATATTTTGAAAAAGACGTCTTTTGACAGTGTGCCGAATGAGAAAATTTTACAACGGTTTCAGAATATGAGGGAATGTCGATAAGTACTACCACGCACTATGGCATATTCATGTACGTCTGTTTACTCTTCTTTGTGTTTTATCCAACTTCCTTTTCATGGAACTTCTTTGTATTCACACTATTTTTAGTTTTTAAATATGTTATGCCTTTAGTTTCTGACCCCGCTGAACCAAATTCTGGCTCCGCCCCTGCCCTTGGGTGTAACCCAGATGTACAAATAACATTTTCCAACTAAAACAACTAAAATTACTCGAAATATTACTTTGTAATATTTAGAATCGATGCTAAATATGGTGCATCGCTCAAATTCAATTCGGGTGGGTAATAAAGAGAGAATTATATTGGAAATGTAACAATTGGTTGAATGTAAGCCCAACCATTTGAAAACATATGAGTTGAACATGAGAAGATATGACTATATATTCGGTCAAAAGAATTGGTACTCTTAAAAATAGAAATATGTAGTTTCAAATACTTACATTCAATTAGTCTACAATATCAAAATATAGAAATCTATTATAAAATGGAAGCAAATAAACAACAAAATAGAGAAAGATTGATTATATTATGAACACTAAGTGAAAGGTGTTATTGATGGTGTGTTTATTACAATTACATTTGGGACAAGACTCTTATTTATAAGAGAAAGTGTGAGTTCATTTAGATTAGGAGATAATCACACAGTTATCACCTTGAAATCGTAATCATGATTTCCTAATTATTTTGATAATGATGATAATCATGAATGGTTAGAAAACGATTAATTCATATACATTGTAACAAAATCTAAGTAATTGCAATGCATAATGGATATGATAAGTAGTGCAATTTATTTCTATGGTTACACTTCAAAAAAGCAATTTGAAGAAAAATGATTAGAATATTACCTTAGTTCTGCTTGAATGAATCATCCGACCATAACTCTACTCAGCTAAATCTTTAAAATATAGTGTAATAAAATTCACTAATTTAACAATTTGGCATATTTTTTTCAAAAAGAAAACGGCATATTTCAAATCTAATATTATGCGGTTTTATTTCATTAATTAGTTGAGTTCCTTAAATTTGAAATATGAAATATGAGCTAATGGGTATGTAAATTACTCTGTAAACTTCATCACTTAGTCTCTCCCATAGTCCCATATATACGGGAACGATGACTACGACATGGAAAGTGAATAAATAAAATAAGGTATGTACTTATAATGCACATGGCAATATCCCATTCGAATTATAAAACTTATTCATTACACATATCACTCCCTCAAGCCGGAGTGTGGAGGTCTCAAACAACCAACTTGGTCCGAAGATGTTGAATTACACACGATCAAGAGCTTTGGTAAAGTTGTCGGCGACTTGTTGTTGAGTAGAAATTGATTGAGGTGAAATTTCATGACTACTAACACGTTTACGAACAAAATAGCAATCCATTTCAACATGTTTAGTGTGTTCGTGATAAATAGGGTTAGTAGCAATGTGTCGAGCTTCCTGATTATCACAAAATATGAATGTAAGTGTAGATATATGAATCTCAAAATAATGAAGTAGCCAATGAAGCATGTAATTTCACAGACAGCAACCGTCATGGCACAATATTCCACCTCCACTGACGAGCGAGAAACCCTGGTTTTCTTCTTTAATTTTATTTTTCCACCATACTTGTACTTAGGGATGGACCGGGACCGGGCCGCCCGGCCCGTGAACCGGCCCGGCCCGCTACTGTGCGGGCTCGAACCAGCCCGGTCTTGGGTAACCAGTTCCGGGCCTAGGCCCGGCCTGGGAATTGGGCCGGGTCGGGTACAGGCCGGGTACGGGCCTTAAATATAGTGAACCGGCCAGGTCGGGCCTATTTTTTTTCCAATTTTTTTCCCCGGGTTGGGTTGGGTGTTTTTTTTTTGGGGGGGGGATGGGGTGGGGTGGGGGTGGGGGTGAATGGGTGGGGGGTCAGAGGTTAATTAGAAAAGCAAAAAGTAAAAACAAATAACATTGAACCGGCCTGGACCCGACCCGAAACCCCTGGCTACCCGGGCCGGTTCCGGGCCTCACTTCCCCCCAAAAAAGCCCGGTCAGGCCCAGCCCGAAACCGGTCCATCCCTACTTGTACTATAGAACAAGATGGTCCACGGACAAGAAGGCAATAACAATGATGGGCAAACGCCAACCATTGATTGCATGTCCTCATATTTTATTTAGTCCGGACAATGCGTTTAGGGTTGGGCAACAACTAGGGTTGTGGACTAGTGGGGGGTAGGCTAATTTGGTGGGGTGGGGTTGTGCACATGGTGGAGACGGCAAGATAATTACTTGGTAGTGAAGGCCACTGCCGAGGTTTCAGGCTTCAACGGCGATCACAATTGGCCGGCGAAAGCCAACGATGATCACTATAAGACTAGGTAACTATAAATGGTTGGACAATGTAGCTCTAATTGATCAGATTAAGTAATTATAATTGTTTAGGTGGGATAACCATAAGTAGGGATGGACCCGAGCCGGTCCGGATCCTGTTCCGGGTAGGGCGGGATTTTTTTCAAATTGTTGGGCCCGAAACCGGCCTAGGTTGATACTGGGTCCGGGCTTAATCGGGCCCGGGTCAAGGTAATTTTTTTTCGCTTTCTAATTAACCCCCGACCCCACCCCCCCTCACCCCCCACCCCCGACCCCACCCCCCCAAAACACCCAGCCCTAACCAAGAAAAACAAAAAAATTGGAAAAACCAAAACCAAAATAAAAAAAGCCCGGGCCCGGCCCGAACCACCCGGGTCGGGCCGGTCTGAGCCTGCACAGTGGCGAGTCGAGCCGTTTCCGGGCCAGGCCGAACTGGTTGGGTCCACCCCTAACCGTAAGTGATCGATCGGATAACTGAGGTTGATCAGGCAGATAACTTTAACTGATCAAATGGATAACTATAACCAGTTAGGTCAAGTGACTATAAATCACCAAATCGGGTAACTGTAACTAGGGACTAGGGTCTAGCCGTCTAGGGAAGGTATAAAAGTTATATAAATCTCTTTTCTTGTCCATGAGCTTCCATTTAGTACTATTATTGTCAAAAACCCCATATAAATATAGTTTCTTAACGATATAAATATATTACTAATATAAATAGACCAACTATAATTTCTTTCTCAAATACACATTCTTTCCAACCCAATGAAGGCACATCGAGTCTTTACAGTTTACACATGCAAGACTTATTTGCTTTAAAATAGATATACTCCCTCCATCCCAATTTGTAAGGTACTTTACGTCTTTACGGTTTACGATGTTTGACCGACGATAAAGCAAATTGATCCCTGTCAACACTCAAATTAGTTTCTGAAAATAAAATTTACATATTCAGAAACTACATTAAAACCGTTACAAAACCTGCAAAAAATAATTCAAATTTCATAAACTTTTGATAAATAAAATAAAAGATTACAAGTGATTTATGTTGAGCAAGTGAATAGTAAATGTATCTTACAATTTGGGACTGAGAGAGTACTAGCTATAAAATAAAAGAAACTACATATGTAGTACATCTAAGAGTGACCTCAAGTACAACAGCCAGTAGTTAACTTAACACTTCTTCAATGGTGGCAAACTTATCATCAGAAGATCGCTTATCTTCCTCCATGATGGTTTTATTGTGTGGCTCTTCCTCGATATTTCTTTGCTCTAGCTCTTTCTTCAACCGTCTGATATCTATATCCCTCTCTTCCAGCTTCTCTTGCAAGAGATATACCTGCAACCAAATATGCTTTGAATCAATTTCTAAACTTAACAGTGAATTCAAATATCATATCCCAAAATTTATGTTTTCACAAGTCAGATCCTAAATTGGCCATGTGATCAATCACATTCTCAAAAGTTCACAAAATGAAACAGAAGGGAAATCCAGTAGTTTAAATCAAGCTGGTGTCTATTTGAGGTGAAGTTTAAGGCACCAGTGAGGTCTTCTCACTGATTCTTGAATTGAAGAAAAGGATTATATCTAAGATGTCAGTAAAGCAAGCAAGTATTACACTATTCTGCTCCAACTCGAGTAACTACAACTGACGAATAGGTAACGTATAATGGATTTTTGTTAACTGATAGCAGGTAAGTGTATAAGCCCATAGAGTTACTGTTTTTAATGGTTGACTATGAGGGTGTTTGGAACTGATTCTGATTCTGCTTCTTTTTTAAAGCAGAATCAGAATCAGTTTTCTGAAGCTGGTCACCCCCAACTTCTAAAAAACTGATTCTACGAGTAAATTAGAGCACCAGAATCACTTCTGCACTTTCGCTCAAACACTCCAACTTCTGCTTCTGCTCCTTCAGGGAGCAGAAGCAGTTTTAAGAATAAGATCCAAACACCCCCTAAAACTACACCTGTTAGATCATAACTTTTCAAAAAAAATGAATAGCAATAACAAATAAAAATATTACTTTGACTTTTCTTATTATTCTCAATGTTACTAAAATAATCACCTAATTCTGAATCAGCAGCAGCTATAATGTGCTTGATAGTTGGTATTCCTTAAATTTACTTTCCCTATTGTTCAACAAAGCCTTTGTCATTTTGGAGTTGTTTTTCCAAACAAGTCAAGATGTAAGAGATGATTTTAAAGAGTAACACAGATAAAACAGCCCTAGCGAAGCAATATAAAAAGACCTCAATTTTACAAAAGATTGATATTCTTCATCTATTATCAGCACTGAACTTTAGCCAATCATTCATATCACAAACTCCAAATTCAGCACTGAACTTTAGCCAATCATTCATATCACAAACTCCAAATTCAGCACTGAACAAAATAATGTAAAAGGATAGTCACAAAATAACATGATAACAATATGAAAAATACAGGCTTGAACTAAATAAATGGTACATGGTATAAACAGGAGGCATTACTATGTAAGGCATTAAAATCCTTAACCCACTGGCTCTACGTAACAACAAATATACTATATAGCACAATAATACAAGGGGGGTTACCATTTCATTTGAAATTTCAACATCATTAGTCAGTCCCTCGATTTGTTTGCACAAGCCTGTAACCAGTGACAGAAGACAGCAAATCATCATCATAAGATTCTAAATTCAAATCAGAAAGCACTCATTGAATTAGAAAACTTACAATACTACTATGCTTAAGCTAACAGTTGCGGAGACGTGATTCAAAATCCATGATATTAGTATTCCTTAATACTCCCTCCGTGTTCCTTTGTTTTCTACACTTTACTTTTTGGGATGTATTTTAATTTTTGCTACACTTTCCTTTTTGGGATGTATTTTAATTTTTGCTACACTTTCCTTTTTTGGTAAGTTTCACCTTTAAAAATACTCAATTACCCTTACTTGTTTCATTTTTTCATTCTCTTTCATTCTTTTCCACCCTCTCCTACTTTTCCTATACTATTCATTACCCATTTACCCCTACTACTTTTACCTTAAATATTGTGCCAAACCCTGTTAGCAAACAATAGAAATTATAGAATACAGAGGGAGTATGTTATCTGGTACATTGCATCAAAGGTCAGGCGCTCCTACCTCCATCCCACCCTACCCTCTGGTTCTACCAAATGACGGAATGCAATTGACCTTTAAAAGATATGTTCTTCAATTAACCTTTAATGTACATAACACCCATTATATATTTATATTTCCCAGTTGATGGTTTTTGGAAATTATAATATTATTTGTCCAAGAACTAACATCAAAGAGATATCTTGTAACCTATTACTAGTCATAACTCATAAAGCGTAGAAAAATACCAACCCTCCAAATGATTTTTAAGCTCAGCATTCTGTGATTTCTGCAAAGCCAATTTCATTGCCATGTCATGCATCTGCAAAACAAAGAAATGTAATATCATCAACAGCATATCAATGATACACATCCAAACCCCAAACTACAAACAACATCCTTTTGGGATTTCAGATCAATCAGTTCTAGCAGAAAGAAAGAAGAAATTATTATACAAATTATTGTGAATACCTTTCCTTCATTAGCTTGTTTACCAATCTCCTCATTTTCCTCCTGTAGAGTCTTACACTTAGCCATTAACATCTTCCCATTCTTGCTCTGCGGGGTAAAATTCACTTCAGCAATATTGTCCTGTAACTCTTTGACCTTTTTATCCTTCTCCTCTACTAAATTCTGCAAAAGAAGGTTTAAAAAAATTACTATGTACAAAAACATAAAAAAAGGGCACTAGAAAAGCTGAAAGAAAATAGTAAACAAGCTGAAGTACCAAAAGAACAAACACGTCAGCAACCAAAAATGTAAAACCAGGTTGCAAAAAAAATGTTAGGCTCAGAAGAACAAAGGGCAAGGTTGTCACAAAAAAATGAATGATCTGGTGCACATTCAACAGAATCAACGTCTGCAAGATCAAGTTTTTACAAACAGCTCCGAACACTAGAGCGACAAGAATTAATGAGCTGTCAGATGAAGATGAGGAAGATGAGACTGAAGATCCCTATTATAGTGAATAGAATGAGAATAAAGTGCCATTCTTATCAGGGTTCAAATTTCAATAACAACAATGAGTGTGCTGATTTATAATGATATCATAATGATCGATCTACAAGTTCACATATTCTGGAAGACTTGAGCATTTTTTTAATTAAGTTTTTCAAGTATTAGATCATAATGATCGAACTATAAGTTCACATATTCTGGAAGACTCGATCAATTATTATATTTTTCGTACAACTTGAATTTGCCCGAGTGTGCTTTGGTTAGAGTTAGGTTATATAACCCTTCTACTCAATTGTTGGTGGTTGAGTTATACAACTAGATTATCTGAAGTTCTCATTTATATTTGATAGAGTATATCTAGAGAGAAGTGAGAGCTAGAGAGAGAAGTGCAATAATATGCTTCAATAGAATGAATTTGTCACCCCTATAACTACTCCCAAGGGGAGTATTTATAGAGAAAATACGGGCTGGGCTCCCAAGCCTTGGGCTTGGGAGGCCCATTTACAACTGGACCGCTACTGGGCCGAATACAAAGCCACTAATGGGCTGTACAAATGAGTAAGTGTAGAATCCGGTTCTGTGGAGTCTTTGGGGCCGACGAGGGCACGGCCGACGAGGGCGCGGCCGACGAGGGCACCCGGGTTCCTTGGCTTCAGGACCATAATCTGAGTTGGCACCTTTTCGGCCGACGGGGGTCCCTTGGCCGACGAGGGCGCCACTCTGTGTCTTGTGCTTTCTGTTCTTCCGAGTATGTGGGTCCGGGGGCTCAGACCCATATACTCCATCAGGAGTCCCCCACTCTCTAAGCTGAGATGCAGACGAAGTGAAGGAGAGTAGATTCCCGTGCTTTGTTGCTTTTGTCCGATGCGGGCATTCCCAGGCCGTCGGCTGTTGCGGCGTTGGCGATGTTTCCATTTTGGTGGTCCTGTTCTATGCTTGGGCCGTTACCTGCTCCTTGCTGTGGGCGGGGAAGGCCGTTGTTTCCTTGATGTGTTCGTTTGGGGATGATAAGTGTCCTGCTTCAATGGTGGCCGTTGAAGGCACGCTTTCCCTTTCTTGGACGTTGATGGTTGAAGTTTACGTTTAGGCCGATGAGGTCACTGAGGTTGAACCTTGCTTTGAGGACGATGGCGTCCTTTCCTTTGGGTGGCCGATGAGGGTGTTTGCGCGCTCCTTTTGGCCGTCGCCGACTGGCTTTCGTGTTCTTGGCCGAAGAGCCCCTTATGGTTAACTGTTGACAGGGGATGATGAATGTCCTTGCCTTAGGTGGCCTGTTGGCCGTTGTTGATGATGTTATGTGCCTCTGGCCGATGAGGCGCCGTTGTGATACATGGACGATGTGGCCATGCTTTGTGGTTACTTTCATGTTCTTTGTATTGTTCCTTTTTGTTTTGTTGAGGCCGGTGTAGTCCCCCAGTCCCCCACTGCTTCAGGCCGAAGAGTGTGAGGGGTGAAGGAGTTGCTTGAGTCCCTGGCCGAAGCGGCCTCTTCGTAGTGCCCCTGAATCCAACTCTCATGGCGATTTTCTGGCCAAGGTAACCCTGTGGGAGAACCCTTGTGCGCAGATCGCTTGTAAAGAGTTATCATCAAGGGTCATTACGAGGAGCCGATGGCTGTGGGTTCTTTGTTCCTTTGGTTCTGTGGCCGTTACGGGCGTTCATTACGTTCCTGGCCGTTGTCGTCTCCTTATTGTTGGCGTTTTTGAACCTGGCAAGCAAATAGGACGTTGTGGGCGCTTGCTGGCACTCGTGAAGCCGGCAAGTGTATAGGCCGTAGAGTCTGTTTTGCCTGTGGGCTGTTGATATGTGGGTTGGGCCTGGCCCGTTGGTGACGTGGTGGCCTCCCATTGGTGGCCGTTGATGTGGCCATTGGGAGGGTGCCACGTGTAGTGACCGTTGGGTGGGGGGGTCTATAAATACCCCTCCCCCTCCGACGAGAAACCTTATTTGCATTCTGAATTGTCGAAGTGCTGACCAATTTTCTAGAGAGATAAACTCCCAAGCTTGTTCTTCGTGTTCTTCGTGTTCAAGGTTAGTGTTCATCGCCATCTTCTGTACTTTGCATACTTTGCTTCCTAGGCTAGTGATCTATTGTTAGGCGCTTGAACACCTTTAGATCCTAAATGATTCCTCTTAGGCTCGTAGTAGTTGTTATGATGAAGAGTTTGAACGAAGACTACTATCCGTACGACGACCAGCCCTCCACTAGGTCACTCGACTATGAGGTGCTCGAGGAGTTCGAGGAGGAGATAGAACATTTAAGCCCTTATAAGTCCGGGGAGCCGGTGGACGACGAAGGTGAGGACGAGGAGTCCGCCTCATCTTCAAAAGGTGAGGACGCAGCTGCGTCCCGAGTGGTGGACGGGGCGTCCACTTCAGCTGTTATTCCGTGCCCGAGGCCGGTGTCCGCCGTTAAAGGAGCCGGTAAGCCGAAGAGGATAAGGAGGCCGAAGAGTGGGCCTGGCGTCTCCTACCTGGATCTCCCAAACATCTTTCTGATCGAGCCGGAGAGCAGCGCGGTCGACTACTTGGTTGCCCAGATGTACGTGGAGCCGTTCGGGCGGGTTAGGGCACCCAGGCCGACGGACCATGTTCTTCATCCGCCACCGGGATACTTCGGAGTATACCCGATGAGTTTCGCCAAGGGGCTGAGGTTTCCCCTTCACCCCTTCATCACTGAATACCTTGACATGGTAGGGTTCCCTCCGGCCTTGCTGACGCCGAACAGCTATTCTTTGATGGTGGGGTTTTTGCTCCGCTGTGAGGAGCTGGGCTACAGGCCGACGACGGCCCTATTCATGAATCTGTATCAGATCGGCCGAGGAAGCCACAAAAACTGTGCGGCCTATGCTACTCTTCTACAGCTGCCGAAGAAGAGGAGCTTCACGGACTTGCCTTCGTCCATTCATGGGTGGAAGAGCAAGTTCGTTTTTGTATCCCTTGGTGAGAGTGGCACCGAGTTTCCCTCTCTCGACCATACCGGGAGGTTCAATCTGCATGACCCGCCGAAGAGTTCTATCTTGGACGCTCAGGTGGAGGCTTTCTTGGAAGGGGGGCCGAGAAGCGTGAAGGATTATATCACTGAATACAAGATGACCGCCCTCGGCTTCTTGAGATACCATGTGTATGGCGATAAGGAGGATGATATCCAACTCTGACCAAGGATGACCACCACCTTCGAAGAGGCCGACGGCCCGGATTTGGGCATTCCTGCTGAGGCCGATGGTAATTATTTCTTCGGCTTTCTTTCTTTATGATTTGTTCTTTTGCCTTACTAACCTGTTGTTTTTTCCTTGTGTAGATTTTGTCATGGATCGTCGTTCAATCATGGCAATTGCTAAGGCCAAAGCGGCCGAGGAGTTGGCTGCAAAGGCGGCCGAGGCGGCCAGACGTGCCGCGGCCGAGGGAGGCGGGGCTACTGCTGGTGCGGCCCCAAAGCCTGCCCAATCCAAAAAGAAGAGGCCTCCTACTGACGGCCAGAAGAAGTTGACTGAGGCCGGCCTGAACGTCGCCAAGAAGACGAAGAGGGCACCGTCTCCTTCCCAGGCTACTGAGGCCGGCACTCTTGCCGTCCCCAGTGTGGACGATAGTGGTCCTGTTGTGGACCTCACTGCTGCTCCCAGCGATGCTGCCCAATCGCTTCCTCTCGTCCAGGAGCCGCGGACGAAGAGGGCTGGCAAGGAGATTGCTGCTGCCACCTACCAGAAGGTGGTGGAATACCCCGTCGGCGGGGGTGTGTTTAACGATGCCGTCCTTGGCCACGATGTGCTGGCCCAGGCCATGCCGACCAAAGATCGGGCCTACCTTAAGAAGCTCGGGGACGTGAAGGTGTACGAGGGCGGGATGGACCTCCTCGTCCAAGTAAGTTCTCTTCCTTCTTATGTGTCGTTTTTGTCGTCGTCCGAGTGGAATTATTTTTCTGAGCCTTTGTTTGCCTTTTTTGTGCAGAGTGCCTTTATGCTCATGGAGAGCCACAAGAGGCAGTACCGGGAGATAGCTCGTCTGAAAGAGCTTGAGCAGAAAGCTGCCTCGGCCGATGAGGCGGTTGCTTGCTTGGATCGGCTCCGGGAGGATGCCAAGGCCTTGCAACAGAGGTCCGATGAAGCCGCTGCAGCCAGGGACGATGCCCTGGCCAAACTTGAAGAGAGCCAAAGGGCGCTTGAGGCCGAGCGGCTCAAGAACGATGAAGCCGTGAAGGCGAGAGCTGAGGCCGAGGCTGCCGCTGTGAAGGCTGCTGACCAGGCCGTTGAGCAGTTCCTGGCCGAAGGGTGGAAGGCCGATGAGAGGCTCCCATGGTGTTATGAAGTGGTGGCCGCCAGGCTTGAAAATTGGGGGATGAACTCCCCCGCCGGCCAGGAGTATTTCAGTAGGGAGATGGCCGTTTACTATAACATGGGCCAAGAGCGGATGCAGAGGCTCCTGTGTCGGCGGCTGTCTCGTGCTCTGAAGGCCATGAATTACACATCCGGGTGGGCTAGACGGAACTTGAAGCTTCCAAAGCTGATGAAAGATCCCGAAGAGCAGGCCAAGCTTCCTCTGTCAGAGCAGGAGTCCCCCATTGAGAGTTCCGGCCTCGGCGAGCCGGATTACACGGAGTTTGATTTCCTGGACGATGCCACCAGTGCTGCGGCTGCCGGCGGCCAGGAGGCTGAGGCCGAGGAGGGAGCTGAGGACGTC